CTCCTAAAGGTCTGGGACATCCCAGAGTGGCCCTTTGGGTGCTCTGCCTCCATCCAGCTTCCCTCCCGCCTTCCTGGGGACATTCCAGCGCTGGATTTTGTGCTTTTGAACATCGTCCGTTTCACTTATAAGCCCTGGGATCAGAGGACAACACATTTATACAGATATTTTTATTAACGGTAATCCAGGAGCAGCCAAAAACCCGGTTCCGCTGGCACGGAATGACCCGGGCACACGGCAGCCACAGCCAGRGGTGCTTCGGGCAATGTTCTCTTTCATGTCCGCTGTCCCCTCCCGGCTGAGGGCATCCCTTTGAAGCCTGAAGAGCTGAGAATTTGCCCGAATTTGCCCCTGATTTGCTCAGCACTATCAGTGCCTCTTCAGAGCCCGGGAAGGGCGGCGGCCTCTGAGCATCTCCCCCAGCTCCGGCTCCGTGGGGACAGCCCGAAGAGGATCCCGAACCCAAGAACGCAGCTCCAAGAGGAATTCCCACACCTCCAAGGGCTGGGATGAGCTGCTCAGGGCTCCGCTGACCACGGTGGCAGCCGAGGAGGGCTGGGCAGGGGTTGGGGGCGAGGAGGAATCCTTTTAGTGAAAAACTCCATCTCCCACCCCTGCTTCTGGGCAGCAGCTCCAGCCAAACCAGCTGGTCCTGTCTCGCTGAGGGGACACAGATTTGTCACCCCAATCCTCCTTGTCACCACTTCTGCYACCCAGTCACACCATATTGCCCATCTCCTGCCTCGTTCCCCGCAATGATGGTGGGACATRGACCCAAATTGTCACCATTTGTGCTGCTGTGGCTCCCGGGTGTGGGGATGGATCTCCATCCTTAGGGACATTGGAAGTGAAAGAGGGAAGCAGAATGACGTGTCACAAGTCTAAAGGCCATGACAAAACCTGGCCTCTGTTACCCCAGCCCCCAGGAATCCAGAATTCCAGCATTTAGATGGTGTTTGCATRTAAATAAGATATAAAAAGTTTACTTGTATTTTGATATCTGGATCTTCTGCATGCCCTTGGAGCTCCACACCTGGGGTGGCTTTAGGAAGGGTTACAGAGCTGTCTGGTGAGGATCTACTGGTGGTCCCAGTGCTCCCAGCAAGCCACAGTKTGGGCAGTTTGGCACAGCAGGAAAACCAGGCTGTGGCTGTGTCACACTGTCATGGTGGCTGTGCCATCCCTGGAGAGCAGCGGGTGATGAGCGGGGCAGACAGGGAGAAAACCATGAGTTGGAAAGAGCAACCACAGCCCAAACAGAGCCAATTCCAGAAGAACTATCAGAGTTCACCAGTGGGAATTCAGAGAGGAAGGAGGGAAGGCCTCAAATGAGCTGGTGTCCTCTACTAGAATGAAGCAAAACCTTCTTCCCCCCTCCCAGAGTTTTGCCTGGTTCTGGTTTTTCTCCATGAGGATGATCTTCCCATCCTGCAGCCATGACAAACCTCTTCCATGGAGGGCAGAGGGGAAGGAGAGCAGGAGAAGTGACCCAGGGGGTATTTGAGAAGTGTGACCAGGTCCTTCCAAAGCTCCCTCCTGGCTCCTCATCTCTCTCTGCAGAATCCTCTGGGATGGAGCATCCTGGATGTGCCTTTTCAGAGCTCAGCTGTTCCCTGTGGCTGCTGCCTGCTCTGGACTCAGTCACGTTTCTAAATCCAGCTCTCTCCACACTCTCAAGTGGCCTCTGAAGATGCCAGCTGGGCCATGGTGGTGAGTAAGCAGGACAGAATCAGCCTGCAGTGCCTKTACAAGGCATTCCAGCCCCGTGACGATGAGCCCATGCCCTCCCATCCCCTTTGCCCTGTGCCAGATGGGTAACTGAGGGTATCCAGCTTCAGGATTATTGTGAAATTATGGAATCTTGGGATGGTTTGGGTTGGRAGGGACCTTCAAGRTCATCTCATTCCACCCCTGCCATGGGCAGGAACACCTTCCACTCTCCCAGAGTGCTCCAAGCCCTGTCCAGCCTGGCCTGGGACACTGACAGGGGCAGCCACAGCTTCTCTGGGAAACTTTTTCCCTCAGAAATTCCCTCAAAACCACCTGAATGTTGATGAGCAAATCCAGGAGAGAAGAAGCCAAAGCTGCCCTCCTGTCACTGCCTTCAGGGCCAGGTCCTGCCTATCACAATTTGTGTGAATGATGCACAAATATTTGGGAAAAAGATGGATCAGCCTGGCCCTAAATCAGCCACTAGGAGAACACCCCACCAATCTGCGCGGCCAAATGCCAGCTTTGCCACTTCCCAAAGGCTGCCCTGCATCCCTGAGGCCCTTTTCCCCGATTCTAATGCCCYGCAAAAGCTGGCCCTCGAAGGTTCAGAAGTTGGTAATAGATAACCAATCCCCGGGAGCATTCCCGGCGCTGGGAATAACCATCGCACAGCCCGGTACCTTGTTATCAGCGTCATTAAAAGCTGCTGGCGTCAGAGCGAGCAGCGGTGCTGCCCTGCCGGAGGAGCCCTCCCCATCCCGGCTGTGTGTGTATGTGTGTGTGTGTGTGTGTGTGTGTGTGCCGCCGACAAAGTGGATTATCTCCATCCTCCCCCAGCAGCAGCTGCGAAGCAAAGAGGAAAAGGGAGAGTGGCTGAATTTGTACCTGCAGGTAAAGTTGCCCGGCGCTTCCTGGAGGGAGGGGCAGAGCCTCTGGGGGATGTTGAAACCTCTCCCCGGCCGACAAAAGGAGGGGAGATTAGCTCGACCCCTGGAAGGGATGAGCGTCCTGCCCCGTCCGCCCCCTCCGCTCCGCTCCGCTCCGGCGGGACCCCGCGCCCGCGCTGTGGCCGTGTGTGTGCGTGTGYGTGTGTGTTCCAGTCTGCAGCGTGAGCAATTTCACTTGAAAAGACAGAGAAATCCCCTCCTTTGAAAGTCGCGGTGTTTGGTTCTTCCCAGTAATGCTATAATTGGATGGGATTTTCTCTAATACACAGGGAAAGTCCTTAAGATGATTTTTCACACACCACCACCCTCCCTCCTTCCCCTCATCCCACCTTATGCAATAAAACTCCCTCCTCCAGCCCCTTCGGCTGCCCTGGGGGAGGTGGGGGAGCTGCCGAAGGAGGCGGCGGGGGGGACGGATTTAATACCCTTGCTGTAATTGCAGCATCGACACGGCGGGGATTTGCCGGGAGAGCCGCGCGGAGCATCCGTTCCCCCTCTGGAAGCCGCCGGGATCAGCTCGAGCCCGGCTCCGCGGAGCGATTAGATCTCGGAGCACTTGCCAGAGCTCACATTTGCAATCGCTTGTCATCCAACCCGAAAGAAAATAATCAGGGCCCGACCCCTGCCAAATTCCCAGTGATTTAAATATCCCCGAATGAACTGCATTTCTAGTATAATTTCACTAGAATGAATAATCTCTCCATCTAGCTCCACACAAACATATCTTTATATATATGCATATAAAGCCCTGTGTGTGTAAATAGAAATATTCCCTACTAAGGGAAAATATAAATGCAGCCCTTAATGAGGATGAAAGCGCATTTTGATTTGAGCTAATGCGGGGTTGCAAGGCTTCCCCCAACAAAGTCATTAAAAATGGTACCTCTCTTTGTTCCGTRCGAGCCACAGAATTTTTCTGATTCACAGATAAAATAAAGTCAAACAAATAAATAAAATCTCCTCCAGCTCGCTGAATCCTTAAAAAAAAATAAAATAMAGGGGCAAAACCCAGCAAAAAAAAGTGGCATAAAGCGGCAACAAACACCAAAAAAAAACCCGTGGAAAAGGGAATCGTTGTTATTCCACGGAGAAAACATCTCCTCGCTCATCCAGTGCCTCCATCCCTTCTTTTCGCCTCTCCAGCCCCCTTTCAAATGAGCCAGGGGAAGGGGGAAGCCTGTCAGCTGTGGGTGACACTTGCTCCCAGACCCAGCCAGCTTTAACCAATATGTTCCAGAGGAGCAGCAAATCCAGCCACGGACTTGGAATCAAGGAGCTACATCTTCATAATTATATTAATAATGATTTTTT